GTTATAAACTATATACATATTATTTTTAAAGAATTCTAGGTAAATAATTATTCTAGGTAAAATAGGTAGATACTCACATTTCCAATGCCTAATAGTGGTTGATTGCTAATATTKTCTTGCATAACTAAAATAATACATAAATTATTAAAATTCTTGGTCATACTCATACACTCATAAGTCGTATAATAATAATTTCCTATTTTTATTTTCACCATCGTACTAAAATATAGAAATACATGGGTTTTAAATAAAAAAATATGCAATTTCATGAAATACCTAGCTTTGAAATCAAATTTATACTTACCAGAGTCACTATAACATAGAGGAGTCACAATTGGTGTAAAACATTGATTAATCTTTACACAGTTCTCACTTGACTTTTTTAATAGTTTCATTTTTTTCTCTCTTATTTTTTCGGTACCACCCTTTCTTTTGTTTTCCATTTTTAACAGACAACAATCAATACTCAATAGACAGGTGTATTAAAAATCACCAAAAAATACAAAATATTCAACAATAAAATAAAATAAAAACAAGTAAAAATCTCACAACATTATATAATATCATCGAACGTAACACTATACAGTATATTAATATATTGTAAAATACTAAAATGTAAATTCTCGATGAAGACTAGCCGTGGTTATAAACGCGCATTAATCGATTGGTATATTCAACATTATTAATAGACGTTATAAATAATAATTGTTCGTGATGCAGATAGGGTGGAGTGGAGGATTATCAGTCAATTATAAACCTAAAATCTATTTTTAAACACCAAATATAAACAATTTTGAATTTTTACACTTGCGTGTTATTATATGAAAAAAAATAATATATTTATAATTTATATTTAAACTCATTATTATAGTGTTATAACATGTTGTATAAGTATTAAGTATATAAGAATAACAAATTATTTTTGAGCAGCGGCCCACCGGGAAAGTTCCCGGTATCCCGCCGGCCCAGTCCGCCCCTGTATACTCGTAGATAACTGATAAAATTATGGTCTATTACATAGCTCATGTAAACATTAAATACTTATAAGTTATTAGTAGCTATAAGCTTAAATGTAAATATTTTAAATTATGACTATAATCGTAGTAAGAAATATTGTCTTACTATGACTTTTAGTTGCGACAAGATGTAGCGATAAGAACTAATGATTTGTTAAAAGCAGCGAAGCCAATGGRTCTAGAAGTGAATCAGGATAAAACCAAATATTTAGTCATGACTAGGGGAACAAGGGATATCTCGGACCTAGTAGTAGAAAACTATACCTTCCAACAAGTGGAAAACTTCAAATATCTTGGGGCAAACATAAATCAATACAATAACATGCATAATGAAATTAAAATTAGGATATCAGCCGCTAWTAAGGGTTATTACGCTTTGGAAAAATTKTTCAAGTCAAAGTTCCTCTCTAGACKATCAAAGGAACGCCTGTTCTTAAGTTTCCTACGGCCAGTTCTAACATTTGCATGTGAAACATGGTCGACTACTAAAGGAGATGAGGAAAAAATGGCTTGCTTCGAAAGAAGAGTTCTTAGAAGGATTTATGGACCTATACWAGAAAATGAARTGTACAGAAGAAGAACCAATAGGGAAGTACAACAAATTTATCAAAAACCTGGTATMAACGCGTACCTTATGAGCAAACGAATTGAGTGGGCAGGCCATGTATGGAGGTCAAATGGTATCCTAAAGAAAGCTCTGGAAGGAAAAATCAATGGAAAAAGACCTAGGGGTCGSCCCAGACAGCGCTGGATAGACAGGGTTAAGGAGGATATAGACAAGTGCGCCCAGGGATTGACTTTAGAGGATAGTGTTGACAGAGATAGTTGGAGAAAAGTAGTAGAGGCAGCGAAAGTCCTCCAAGGACAGTAAAAGCTGAAGAAGAAGAAAGATGACTTTTAGTTATGTATATGCAAATATTTGAATGTTTTCAGTCTATATTTTATTTTATTTTTTTGAAAAATAGAGTGTTAAACGTTTTAAAAAACCATCTTACGAGTATACATAACGAGTACATTTCAACAGAAACAGATTACAGATTAATATATTTTACATATAATTTTATATATTTTAAATTATAATTGAAAGCTAAAATATTTTAACATCATTTTGGATATAGCGTACAAAATCAAATAAAACAATGGTTGAATAGTGCTCAATGACAATGAGTTTGTGTTCAAAGAATATGTTTAAGACTCGTGAGTACTATACAAACATACAGTTATGAAATTATAAACGTTTTCATTGCATACATCAACATTTAGTATATAATTTTGTAAAAATTTCAGCAAGATAATAATGCTATCTTGCCGATTAATGATGATTATTTAAAGGTATGTTAATACCATCAAAATTATTTAGATAGCATTACCTTTTATATATGTCATACATATTATCGTGGTTATTAATTCAGAATTTATAGCTTTATAGTAAAAATCGATATGATTGTTTTATTTGATATTAAGTTAAAATGTCTAAGGTTTATTAAGTTCTTATTTTATTACATTTATTATGAGCTAGCTAGTTTCAGGCTCCATTTGGTCAATTTTTAAGGAGCATTAAATAGGCAACTTATTATGTGTCATATAATTTAACATGATGTTTATGTGTGAAAACTGAAAAGTAAATAATTTTATTATTAGCGTTATTAATTTACATTTCAAGCAAACAAGTCAATAGAACTAAGTCAGGCGAAACTGAGGTTCGTTTTTAATTAAGTTAATATCACATTTAAACATGTTATCAAAATTGTATATTGCACTATWTTGCTGTACAAGTTGCGTCTGTTCATTTACTATGCGGATTTTATTTGTTTAATTTTTGTTATACAAACTGACGAAGATTCTATTGATTTATATTTACGTTATGGCAAATATAATTAATTAGCATATTCTAAAAAATGTGTGATTTTTTTAGTTTAAAAGTAATCGATAAACTAGATCATTAAAAGCCATTTAATTTTGTAAGGTAACATCATACCTTAATTTTACATTTTAAATAATTATCTTATAATATTTTATATTAATAAAATAAAATAAAAATAAAATGATATCATGCCTACACATAATACATGGAATTTTTYTTATAAATATGTAGTGGAATACAATTGATTCAATTTTTAAAAGTATCATATTAAACCTAATAAATTAGTAATCTKGTTTATTATATGTATCAAGAATAAATCAGTAAATGTTCACCTTTTTTTTAAGTAGGTAAATATTTTTTATCAGAAAATATATCTATCGTTAGTTATTCCTTTATTACTCGTAGTATGTTTTGGAGATATTGTTGTGAATAGTTATTTACAATACATAATACATGTAAGTAGATAATTGCGAATGAATAAAAATMATAGTAAGTTTTTCCTTAATTGCTGGTAAATTAAAAAAAATCAAGAATCTTATTTGAAAAAAATAAATACGTTTGAATTATTTACTGCAAAAAGTATTAATAGACACTATACATTTTGTATATTATATTAGTTTAATATTTTAGACAAATAATAAAACTATTTTGTTAATTTTTTTCTTTTTTGGGGAAGTCCCAACCGAGTTCCGGTTTCTCAGCCACAGCCATGTACACCATAGCACCTCGGTTTGGCAATGGTTGAATGGCCACGTAGGTCCGTTTGTCCGGAGTCCAGTGGCATTGATATGGGAGAGGTTTAGGTGGAGGCATTGCCTTGTCGAAAGGTCCAGGCTCAGGTTTCTAAATAATATAAATATATCATGTATTAGATACATGTCTATGTACTTACAATTGCTTAATATATTATATGTGAGTTGACCGAAATAGTTTCGAAATTATTTATTTATATAAATACAATTTAATTATTTTACTTAAACTGGTTGTGTTATATATTATTTAACTGCGAGTTATCAATTAATATATAGTATGTAGATATTAGTAGAGAAAATTATGGAGGAAATCGTTACACCACGAGTGGTATATGGTATAATTTTTTGATTTAAAATCTGTTTAAAAAAAAAATGATTCTGAATTAAATATAATCGTTCATATTATTTTGTAGATACTACCTACTTTCTATGGGTGAATAATATATAGAAAAAGGTTAATATGTTTTCGTATAACCTACCAAAACTGCCTGCGGGTTGATTTTTCAAAAGTGGTAATAGTAATATTGTTATTACGCTCAAAATATTTTACAGGTAATGATATTATCGTTATCTATAATACTCATCCACTCATCCACTTATACCCCGCGCGTCTTTGGTGTTGGTTTTTCAGGAACTTACTCCCCAATTACAGCACGTCGGAGACTGTCCGGTCTCGGCGATTGTACGCCTGACGACCCCCATGAAATATTTCATGAAATTATTTCGGTGTTTCAACACGTTTACATCCCTGCTCTGCAGAGATTTCGCTCTAGTTATCCACTTTTCAGTGATGGCTCTGTCTGTAGAGTAAAAACGAAATTGTTACAAGTAGGTATAGTCCGAAGACTACGATAGAATGTGGCGTTGTACATTTGAACGTGAAACAATCGGAATCAGTTATTTTGTTCGGAAAAATAATAGTAAGCATAATGATATATTAATCTATATTTAAATGCGTTAGATAATGGTTTAAATAAATGTGTATTAATATAAGAGCTAAAATGGTAAAATATCATAAAATATTACCATCCATGTCTCGCATTAGTGGTATCATAGTTTTAGCGACTTCTGTCATTTCAGTAAATTCTTGTGCGTAGTCTGTCATTATAATATATTAAAAATTGTTCACTCCTTAAACGATCTCAAAATCTTTAAAATTGTCTAAAAGCAATACGAGTGTATAACAAGTTTTTAATAGCAACGCCAGATGAATACACAATAGTTACCAGCTGTTATTAATTTCAGCAGCCAATTAATAGCTTGATGATTGTATATTGTGTTATTGTACAATGTTATTAACCATTATGGAAATGAAATAACCTGATAACCATAACCATATAGTGTACTGTTAATCATTTCCAGTAATATTAACRAATCACGTTGAAAAGTATAGAATATGATCATTATATCTTTGATTGAAATTATCAAATTGGTTCCAAAGACATATTTAATATTTTAGTTATAGTTAGAATTTAGATTGCTGAATGTTATACTATAATAATTATATGATTAATTTTTGCTTCKAATTAATTTAATAAGCACTTTTGTGGATATATAATAGATCATAGGAACTTCATCACATATAACATCGATAGGYATGTTATATATCAAAATAATTAATGAACACGAGAAAAACGTTCTAGTGATTTCAAGTGCTAAACATTTTGTACAATTACTTTTTTTGATTTTCAATCAAATAAGMATAATAATTGGAATGAAAAAAATCTAAGTTTTTATAACTTCAATAGTTTTTAGTAAGTAGGAAAATMATATAAATTTAATTCAGTAATAATGAGTAAACGGTTAAATAAGATAGGTTTAAAATAAGGTGTTAATGATATCGATCTGATAATATGTCTAAACGGTATAATAATATGATACATATTATGAATCCAGAAAAATTATGCGTTATTCAACCTTAAAAACTCTATTATATTTTATAGGTCTAGAAAATTATGGTCCTATGTCCATAAACTAACACAATCGAATATGATTTTGCAACTTATACAAGATTAAATAATTTAAATAGGTGCCTTGGTGTGGTGTGGTCGTACACTACACCGCTCAACTGCGGAAACACTCTGAGTGTATGACCAGCCGACTGTTGCTTGCTCCTGGATGGGTGATCAGCCGGGTTTTAGCAACAAATACTTACCACAGTACACTATCATCAATATCACTTGAGTAACAGAGGTGTATTTAGGCATAGGTCTTTGAGCATAAATAGTAGTGACATTTGGAGAGCGGTAAATTTTAACATTTTTTTTTTTTTTTACAAAATGACAAAAAATATTTTTTATTTAATAAAATAAAATCTTACAAATTATTTGAATAGAAAATTTATTTTTATAGAAATTATATATTATGTAATTTGGAATTAAGGAGATTCGATACGGCTGTGATTTCTACCAGGATATACCTATATTTTGCCAACTGTATTGATTGTTCTAGTTATCGGAAACAAATGTTAAAAACATATTTGAATTCGCTATAAAGTTTACTTAAAATGACTTTCGATCCTTGAACCTTTCAAATTTTAAGAATTTTAAAATAACAGTAATATTATCAAAAAATTAATTTAAAAATGTGAGAAAGCCGTTTTCAACAAAACTTCATGATGAATTCATACATGTTTTCAGAATTTGTTCTTGATTGGTAAAAAAGTCTGTATAATATTGTCAATGGATTGATACTTTTAGACAAAAAAAAAAAAAATAATAATAATAAATTATGTTCATCTAGCGCACCACGGTGTATAATTGGCATGTGACTGCTCGTGTRGCCGTCATAATCGAAGAAAAGAAATACCATTATGCAGCGGGCTGTAATAGTTATATTATGAGCCGGTGGAGGCACTCACATTAATTATTGTTTAACATACAAACACAAATACAAGCTCATCTGTATTCAGCTCCTTAAAAACGATCGGCGTCGAATCCCCTTGAAAGCTCAATGGTAAACAATCACGTMCGTTCACTCAAAATTAAACAGCTGCCGACAATGTCACGTTGTACAYATACGACACGGTACAACCAGTAGGTATATAGATAATAAAAAAGGAGCATATTCAACGGGGATATGATTTCTCATATATTGGATTAAAATATAATAATATAGGTAGTACCTATATATTTCATGTCTATGATGGACACCAGGTATCATTTAGACATATTATTATTGTGTACGTACTCGTATACAATATAACTAATCAAACTTATAAGATCATCGATACTTATTAGCGGTATTCAGTGATAAGATATTGCTATACATTGTTGAAACTCAATAATAATTATGAATAGTTTTATAATTTACAATCTATTGATTCTGTTTACAAGTTTTACAATTTGGGTTTTCTTTTACTAAATACAATATTTTGTTAATTTATTTACATTTAAAAAACAAAATGTGGAATAATCTTGATTTCGATTCGATTATATTATTCTTATTGAATTACAATGTTATATTATAAGTAACAATTAATATTAATAATACTAATAGGTATTCACAACGACTAAAAGCCTTAGTTTTTTTCAGATAGAGATGGACAATTTCAATAGGTAGGTCGTAGGTACAATATATTATATGATATCGCCTTGGAAAAGAATTGAACAATTTTTTATTTAATTCAAACCCACAAGGTGTAACACTATTGATAAACTATAGACATGATTAATTATTGATGAATTTATAAGCTTATAAAAGTTATTATCATTTGAACAGAAACATAAATGATAAAAAAGCTTTTCSTATGTATTTGAAAAAATGAATCTGTCTCTAGGTACCTAATTCACTAATATATGGTAACATTTTCATTATAAATATTATTTTTCATAAGAAACGATTTGCCTTTGACAGCATAAGTTTATATGGTAATGATTGTACTCTGCATTATATTAACATGGAAAACAACTTTATTATCTTTTAACTATAAAGTAGGTATATAAATTAAAATAAATAAATAAATAACTACGTACATTATTGATTACTAATAATATTATGATGAATTAAATATTCTACAAAATTGTTTTACATACAAATATTATTGTCATGCTTAATATTTTATAATAAACTGCTTTCTTAAATAATTTTCTTCCAAAAGATTCAATAACAATTTTAACTAAAGGATAAAATTTAAAAATAAATAATAGTATAATTATTTTTGTTGACTTGTGTAGTGTGGTATCTTATTTGTATAGTCGTATATTATACAATGCATATTATTATTTTATTTATTAAGGTTTTTGTCTATTATTTTAAGTTCCTATAATATAATAGTATGAATAATATATTTATTATTTTTATATTATTAATCTGTATTTTTTAATTTTTTTAGATAAACGATCAATTAAAAAAAAAAAATGTTTCAGATTTCACTTCTATATAATAATCCATAAAATATAAACATTTATGAAACAAAAAAAAATATTTAACAATAATATTTAGGCTATTTTACTTATTAAATTATTTGTTTCTTAATTGTTTTTTAAAACAAGCATTCTGTATGAAGAATCAATGATTACAATRTTTATTATTTTAAATTGTATACGATTTAATAAAATACAATTTATAATATTAATAATTATATATTATTGCTGTTGTCTTATCTTAATATTAAATGTAAAATACAACTTACAATTATAATTTTTAATGTTGGTAATAATAACTGTACCTATATATTATTAAAAATAATTGGGCGTTTATAGAAATATGATTAAATTAATAATTTTAGCCCTTTTATTTATATAAATATGGTGTTCACTTTATTTTGATCAATTCCTATATGATGTGAGTCGTATCAAAAATAAAATGGAAATTGAAATTATATGATCAAGAACRTAATATTGTGATTTTAGGTTTTTTGTGAACACAGACTTTTGGAAGGACTTGGATGATTATTTAGAGAGTGATAATGTTTAATAAAGTTATGATAAAAATTGCTTTACTAATAGAGTTATTTTGATATCTACTGATAATCTAACCACATCTATTTTTAGAATATTATAAAGTTATGGTACTGATATGTAAAATAAAAATTACGATTAAAAATAAAAAGTATACGTATATTATATTCAAATAATTGGCTAAGTCTTAAAAAAAAAACAAAACAAAACGGTTAGGCTCCTAGCATTTTTTTAACTGAGTAACCGGGAATGGAATAGAAAAACAATATTATCATGAGGAATATAGCCAGTACGATGATCCCTTTCAAAATTTTCCATTTATAATTGTGCCAAATTATGTAACGTATAGATTTAAATGGATTTAGGAACCACATAAATGAAGCGTCTGGTCGGCTGAAAAAATAAAATAAAAACCATTTAACATTATGTTGTACATGATGTAAATTTCAAGAGTTTAATTCAATATATATATATATATATATATATATATATATATATATATATATTACTTGGGTTTATCTAATGGATCTGGTTCGTTGCGTCCAATACCCGCAGGAATTTTTTCCGCTTCGTCGGTGGTAAGCAAGTGTAACTCGGCCTCAACCTTACCCTGTAAAATGAAGTGTCCCGAAAACTACAATTGTATTACAGTGTTATATGACTATGGTTTACAAACCGTTAATTCCATTTCCTCGTTTTCTTTTTTCACATAAAACGGCCACCAGCCTTTAACGCGTTTTTGCTTGAATATATTAACCATCGGAACTGATCCATCTGACTTGAGCATTTCCAACGTGCACAACTTTGAAGATTTGGCCCCTCGCGGAAAATTGTTCAAGTCCAATGTTAAGGCTCCTAAACATTTAATTGGTTTGAATTGAGGAAAATTTAGCAATTTGTCATAAGTAAAATACTGTAATTTATTAATCTCACATATTATCTTTGTATTTTTTACAATAGTTCGAGTAGGACACACATGTTTTTAAAGTCAATGAAGTAAAATAAGGCTATCAATGCTATTTTTCTAATATAAAGTTTCTAGTACTATTTTATGAAACTTTTAAACTGCGTTGATTTTAAAATTTTTTGATTTTTCGCGGAAACCATTATTAACTAGTTATGATACAAAAAACTTCAACAACTCTGGGTTTAAGGTAAAGTACATTTTCCAATAAAAAGTAGACAACGTGTTTGGTACTCGCTTGTCTACGTTCCGCAAGTCAAAAATATAATTCAATTTGCTATGAAAAACTTCGTAGAGCGAATCTCGAAAAAAATACTTAAAACAAAATGCTACAAAAAAGTATATTTGGAAGTGAATCCCAAACCTCCATTTCCGAATAAACCAATTATTATACGTATTTTTATAATAAATTCATAGTTCCAAATTTAGCATTGAAAAAGACGTCATACATTTTTTTTTTATTGGTGTGATTGCACATTTTAGTACAGTATATTTAGTTTTATACTTAATAAATTTCAAAGTGCCAATATAAAAAGTRTTAAATTTAAAATTTTTAACTAATTTTATTTGTCTTTATTATAATTTATAATGTTTATTTAAGTATTTTGAAAGTAACGTAAAAAACACTCATAATTAAAATTGTAATGTCATTATTTCCGAGCTCTGAAATTCATAATTCATCAACTATCTGTGTATCTTTAATTATACTAAAACAATCAGTTATCGCATTTACCCAAAAAATCATCAGCTGAAAAATGATCAGCATCCCACACTTGGAGCTCGAGCCTAGCCGGTATTTTACTTTCCGTTTCATCCCACGAGAATAGTGATTCTTTTTTCGAAATAACGATTTTCTCTTCCGCCACTAAATAGTCGAACGGAAATAAAAATCTCCAGTTGAAGTTTCCCTCTCCWGTCAATGACCTGTAATGTATGTCTGTGCTCTGGCAGTCTTCCGGGCCCTTCAACCACCTGTGCACAGTAATATTGTTAATATATTATATCATAATTATTTATTTCTATGATATAGCACAGCGGTTCCAAACCTTTTTGAAATTCATAGTTTAACTACCCATGAATTGGATTGGATATTAGAAAATACCACTCCCCCCCCCCTTAAAAAAGGTGAAAATCAGAAAATGTACCAGGCCTAAAGAACATACGTTATCGAGTTATCGGATATTAAAAACAAATTATGCCGATTCGTGGAACCGTGATKATGTTTATAATATGATGTATTATGTACAGAAACATTGTGCTTTTATGTKTTTAACTGTACATAATATTACCTGGTTCGTTCTGTAGAAGACCATAGATAATCAAAAGTACATTGTATCTACAAATATTATTCTAAGGTAATATAATAATGGTAATAATAATGATAATATTAACAGGTATAAATTACATAAACTAAAAAAAAATTAGTCTAGTCTTTACCCCTCCAAAATCTTATTTTACTCCTCGAGGCGTAATTACCCACAGATTTGGAATCACTGATATAACACTATGGTATATGACAATCGCAATCACCCTTTTACGTAAATATCACTCATTTTTTCGCCAGTGAAAAATGCATCGTCTTCTAACACTACGTCGTCCGTGTTCCAAATGATCACACGCAATTGGTATGATTTTGGTTTCCTTGGCGATATGTCTAACGCCGGGCCTGGAAGTGGCATGTCCATCGGAAACATGTCCACCCACATTTCTAGTTTGCCCTAACACGCAATCAGTGCAATTATTGTTACAATATACYRTACAGGTTTTCCTTTCATCWAAACATTTTTATTTTGACTTACTCTTTCGATTCCTGCTTTGTCTGCAATAAACAGCGGCCTAGTCTCAATATGTTCGGGTACAAGGTGRCATCCCCTTCGAGGTATTTCGTGCCAATTATGCAAGACGGCTAACGCCATGTGCTCTTCCGTACCTAAGACAATACTTATTAAACGGCTGTAATAAATTGTATTTAATTTTATATTCTARGTGTTTCACTTGCCTTTAGAACAATACCATTCGATTGTGTCGTCTATATTATTCTGAAGACAAAATGTCTTAGTACCAATTTTAACCGTTMCGTTTAAATAGACCGGTGGGTCTAATTTAGCCTCTTTACATAATTTGGCTAATATTTGGGTTGGYTTCATTGAATCTCTCCACCGATTGTATCCCGACCTAAATGTTTGAACGAAATGTATGAATAATTACCTATAGCTGTAYAGACAAAAGGAATTTCACACTACTTACAGTTCATAAGTTTTAGGAATACCACATGTCGCTCTATGTCTACTATAAAATCGATTTTCTAAGTCTATCCTGGTCTCTCCTATTAAATCATCTGATCCCAATAGATCCCAATCTAGTATTTGCACAGTTAACATCGAGTCTTGTGGGAATGTCGCTTCAATTTCAAAACATCTAATTCGAAAATAAATTAATATATGTACATATTCATATATACATAACATTTTATATTATATATTTAACGCTTCAATTGGAATTTATTATTTTTTTTATATTTAAGTAAAACATACTTTCCAAAAACCGGATTGAGCTGTTTTGAAATGTAGTTATCTTTGTCACTAATTTTTTTTGAGCCTAATTGTAATACTACATATGGATCAGCTTTTCCATTGATGTCCATAGGATGGAGATCATTTGCTTTAACAATGTACACTCTAACCAACACATGGATTGGATCATTTGAAGGTAAGCCTTGAAAAAAACCATATTGTGGATCAAATCCCATTATAGTATGATCTTCGATGTCTTTAGGTAAAGGCCATTTATATACTTTTATAGAACCCTGAAATTCATTRAAATTGATGTTAGTTACAATTTTGTAATTAAATTATTGTATGCATATTACTTTAAACGTTCCCACGAYTCGAGCCTCATCTTCGACATCATCGCCTGTTTTTTTACCCCGATACAAATCAAATGGTAATAGCCATTCTCGAAAACCATTGAATTCGGGCTGTGCCTCAAGTTCGTTTGAATATATCTATTTAATTTAAATAGTAGTSCAATTTAATGAAATAACRTGGATTGGATTTATGAAGTACGAGTMGGYATATGTGTAGTTTTTATTTACCTTCATGGTAGCAATTTTAGTAATTTCTCGTTTTCTTTGAAATTTTTTTGGACTTAGTTTTGCTACAAAACGTGACGCTTTTGAACTTTTTTTGGGCGGTTTCACTTCATTTTGGTTAGGTTCCATTTGAATCGGTAATAGCCCGTTGGTGTCTCCATATACAATTTTTCGATTTTCCTAAAATAAGTAAGAATTGTTTAAATTAACGATGAACTTTATTTTCTATTTACTGTGTACAAACTTCGATAATAGCGCTTTCAACAGAAGCAAAATATTTTGTCCACCAATCACGGCTATCATCATTTTTCAATTCTATTATTTCCTCGACACTTTGTTTCCTACTTAATCTATTTAATTGTGTCTTTATATCCTTTTGAGTCAAATGACTAGAACCCTTTAATAAAATAAACAGAGGGTAAATCATGTTAAGTTACATAGGTCACAACTTACATAACTAATGTTGATCACATCATCTTTATTGTCTAAAATATTGGCCTTTCCATTAAACTGTAAATTATTGTTATTATTAGTATTTTGTTCACTTTTGGTAAATCGACTTGTGTTTATTTGATTTTTTTTTGAATTGATTTCTGCAAACATATAATATTATAAAATATTTTGGATAGTATATCTTTTAAAAATATTAGACATTTTTCTTATTGGAAAGAAATACGTGAAATCTAATAAACGTTTTCAGTCATTACCATTAAATGGTATACCATCACATAATGGTATAATATTACCATGGTAATAAAAATATTACAAAATATTATAAGTAACAGAATTTATTATGAAATTTAAAATTTGAAAATTTAAATCATGACAAAATTGTGATATTTAAATAACAGTAAATATAGCAGTATGTAGGAAGTACGGAGACRATGTAAATATAATATGAATATAAAAAKAAATATATTAATAATCYAAGTATATTTGGTAATTCCAAATTTATAAAACTCTGTCCACCGTTATCAATTACCAACGTATTGCAATATGCATTTTTGTGACAAAGTCAAGAAACTGCTATTGGAAGGAAAACGAGTTCAGTAAACAAACCGTGTTATGATTAAAACTATACGAGATCGTAGATATTTTATTGTAGAGCTAATATAAGTCTCAGTTTGACCAATAACTATAGTACAGACAATAAGTAAAACTAAAGAACCGAATGTGACGCCGAWYGCACAATTAGTGACAAACATTGTCATAACACAGTATACATTTTACACACACAGCAAATGGTTCAATAAATTAAGCAGTTGTAGTTGTGTGTTTAAACTTGGGTATTAAAATAATAATATTATGTGGTAAATATACAATGATAATTATAGTCAYTACATGGTTATAAATTTATATTTTTCGTGATAATATTTTCATTCTGGAGTAGTCATTTTGAAGAAAATTGCATGGCAAATAAAATACAACCACTTCATGCTTAATTTTTAATTTGATTACATAGGTTTTGTCACCGACTCCATTATGGTTGTTTTGGGACTTAATTATTGCATGTGATAGGCTTAAGAAAGTATATTATCGAAACATAAGTTTCACTTCACTCTATCTGCATCGCTCACAGTGATTACGTCAAAGATTCCAATAATAATTCTGACCAATATACCTCATAATGAACATCACCACAACACCCGAAAAAATGTTAAATTATTGATAGAATATAATAAAATGTAATGAGATGTAAATACAAAGTAAAAAAAAAGATTATGTATTCTTACGTTGTAGTTGTTGTAGCGATCTATTTCGTTCAATTGCTTCTTTCTCCTTCTTAGTGGTTGGTACATACATATATCTATGGATTGAGTTTATAAGATGTGTACCTACTAAGGTAAATCTGCCAAAACTCCGGCAGTCAACAGCACGTATTGTGAGCGGTGGGCGATAAAGCTCTTGTTCCGGAAGCTCCTATAAAATAGATTAATAATAATGTAATTTAACCAACCTAGGAAATCGTTACAAACCTATTGAAATTATTTTTTAAATCATATTGATGAAATACCAATAAATTATAATAATTTTCAATAATGTATGACTCTTACTAGCTCTAAAAATTTAACTGGAGTACTAAAATTTGGATTTTTTCGTGCATTTTGTATAATAGACGAGTAAAGTATATGACCGGCGCACTCAATATCTACACGAGGTTTGTCTACAGTCATCAAGTGAACACGTTTCAGATCTCGTAGTCCCCAAAACAATACTTCAATCCTAAAAAAAAAAAGGCAATTATGATTAATTATCAGAACGTCTATGTTTTTTTTTTTATAATTCCACAATACTCTTAAAATGGTTGAACAAGTATAAGGAAATATACAAAACAAAATTCAAATTTTAATTAATTCATTATCAATGGAAATAGTAAGAATCAGCACTAAGCATGCTGGGTAAATCTAAAGTGAGATTCTATTTAGCYGTTTATATATTTGTATTTAATRTACATTTTGATCAAACTTATTACGATCGTACCACAAGTAATATTAAATATACACAATAGTGAGAAATTAAAAATAAATAATTTATTGCGATTAAATATTATTATTACCTATATTTTGCTAACGTTGGTCTAATATCTTTTGGAATCGGTAAAATTGGTTCACAGTGTTGTCCGTCTACTATTGAATAAATTTCTTTAGGATTTGGCAATGGTGGTAATATTGCACTTTCGCCAATTAGTGCGTTAGGAAGCTAAACAAAAATATATCAAATGAAATAATATGTGTTTCGTACAACACATATAGGTTATATATAATATAAATAAAAAAAATATATTTTTAAAAATCGAACTTGTAATAATTCAAACGTTGCTAAAAGCTCTCCAGCGTGTTCCATGCCTCTATGGACATCATACCATTCCAATGACGGTGGAAATTCTGGTCTTACATAGTCGTCTTCCAAAAGTTTCACATGTGGTTTAGCCACGGTTCTTCCGATGAATTCAGACTTTCCCTACGCAACATACAAAAACAGACAGTTTACGTTTTCCATACAAAACAGAACAGTTACCACTTTGTCTTGATCGAATATTTCCACCACGATTGTCGGTGGATCCTTTTTAATATCGTCTTTTGTCCCATACAGTATCACTTCGTTGATGATCAACAGTTCATCCCAGGTGGGACTCAAAGTTTCATCGATTACCTATAAGACGATAATTAAAACTCATTAAAGCAAATAAACAAACGTCATAATCTAATAGCCTATGCTGTCCAACGTTTTGATTGGATATTATGTTATAGGAATATAATGTAGTATATGTGTACTTGTGTTTTGGTCGAGTTTTCACCGAATATAATTTGTGCGTACGGATCGGATAAGCCGGATGCATCGGAACCTATTAGCGAACGGGCTTGATACATGTACGCCCTTAGTTGAAATGTCTAAAATAAATACATCAGTTATAAATGTTAAATTGAGATTGTGAATCATTTTTGTTTTTTKATTATTGCTTGTGTCAAGATTTTAAGTGTTTTTAAAATTAATAAATATGATATTTAGAATATGAATAGTAATAACTCATATAAAATCTACAYATTCAAAATGTACTGTTTTTGAATACATAATATAATATTAAAATATTTAATGATATACAAGACTGCTGTGCTGCATAGTAAAAATATATGAGACTTACATATTTTTCGCAATAATGAATGTAGGCCGGCGGTGGCAATCTAGGATTTTCCGAACTGTACAATTCAGGCGTGGTATTATAACCTTTTGGTAGACCGTTTGAGAGGTACTTTTTGTGTTTCATCTGGCCCAACCATGTGTACACTTGCAGTTTAGCTGGTACTGCCCAACCGGACGAACCGTAATTTTTCTTTCCCGGTAACTAAAATCATGATAATTAGATTAAATGCTGYAATTTAAAATATCGTGTTCATTGTGTTCGACTTAATATTTTAATTAAAATACCTTTAAGAACATGCTGTGTACTTTTGAACAAAATTTTCCGCATTCTTCGTCAGCAACCGAATATATTAAGTGCCTAGTCATGATTCGTTGATAAGCTACTCTTTTGCCATTGCTTACCATCCACAGGAAAATATCAGGCAATGCRTGTTGTGGCTAAAAACCAAAGAATAATCAAAAACAGTTTAAAACAGTATTGAAATTATACAAACATCTTCGATTAGAGCTTTGATTTTTTGTAAGTAGCTTAACGCCGTTCTATAACGTTCTTTGAATGAATTTTTGGTAACTATAGCTTTCAAAGTTCTTGACATTTTTCCAATATGTTCCTGTATTTTAAAGTAATAATTTTGATTAATTATTCAAGAATAACAAAMATTTTTTATAATAATTACAATCTCTCTAAGGCATAGCTTCATTCGTTCTTTGTCCAACTTAGTTTTTCCTAAGCCCTGACCACATCCTACACCCTTTGTGAAATTCACGTATCGGTTGCAACTAGTAGATAGTTCGTCTAAGACAGATTTTAGTTTTTCTTCCTTATCAGGGTCATCATCGTCAAGCAAAAATGATACTTCATTCAGACCTTCTTCCTGTTCACGCATAAAATATAACAGAAAACAACTTAAAAATATTAAGTGTTTATAAACCTGTATTATGCCATACCAGTTTGTCCGATATTTTATTTATAATATTTGAGTTGTACATTCTTCGCCTGTAATCTGGCCATATTGACTTGACATGTAAACAGGGCTTGTCTTCACGTAGTGGTAAATAATAATACACCTTATCGTTGGATATTGGCTTTATAGCTGCCGTTGTGCTTTGCCACGATTCCGAAATAACGCTCTCTAAAATATTGYGATTCGTATAATATAGACATCCATCGGATTGTATCAGTTATTCCTAAAGTAAACGAAGATTTACCAAGCACGTTGACTTTATCGTGATCTTCTTGAGAGCTAGATTCGTTATGGCCATCAATCATATTTCCAGCATTCCCTATACTCAGTTCGAAAAATATAGGCTTCTCTCCAAGTTTCTTGTCAATCATAGATGCATCTAAAATGGTCATGAATAAAAAGAACTCTTCGTTTTTACAGTACGATGTCTGGAAATAAGAAAAAAMTTCAATGTATAAGTCCATAATATATATTAAAAAATAATATTTTTTACCTCTGTGATGGGATAGGTAGGTTCGACATCTACACCAGAGTTCATAAATTCCGTGTTTTCTGTGATTTCAGTTCGAATCGCAACTAATACTCTTGCCCTGTATGAAACACCTTCTCCAAGGCCAGTATTGAGCGTCGCGTGCTTGTCTAAAATACTGTAATCCCTTGTTGATCCGTACATGTGTATGAACGTGGGGCCGAATGTTGGGGGAAATCCTATGATAACAATTGAACATTTCTGTATTGTATAGAATTTATTTAGACATAAGCTATCAAAATAAGTTTAAACTACAGAAAAATATAAATATTTAAAGTATCATATTACTTACTAAAAATTTTTTGTTATTCAAAGGTTCAACAGTTTATCATTTTAAATGCAAATGATTTAAGTCAATTTTTAATTAAATTAAATTATAATTAAAAAATAAGTTCTTGTTTTAWGTTAATTCAGTACATGTATTCTGATTTTGAATGAGATATTATAAAACTATAATATTAGTACTACATTATTGATTTAATAGTATTTTTATTTCATACTAGAATTATAGGTTTAGACGGTATAGTTGCTACTTATGAGTTAGATATATTAGATTCGACTATATTAGACTGGTTATATATGTTTARTAATTAACCAAATGTATCAATTTGTTATTGAATCTTAAACAAAACTGTATAAATGTAAATAWGTTGCCCACATACTTATATATAAACGCCAAGAAAAATTATTTATGAGTACCAGATATTGAATTCCATTTAKATTTKAGAAATACAGAAATTATAATATTTTGAAGCATCGATGTTTGTTTTTTTTATTTAGCTTCCAGTGGTGTAAAATAGAATGATGGACGTGTTAAAACACATATTAAAAAAAAAAAATGTATGGCTTCTAATTTTCTTATAGATATTATCCGACTGTAATAATACAAAATGTAAGTATATCTAAAAACCTCTTTCGCCGTCGTTTGATATAGTCTTCAGGTCGATAAAATGTGTGCCAATAATCGTGTTTACTGGATCATTGTCCCTCAGTTGAATTTTTATCCGCTGGCATAGYGGAGGAAACATCTCGGAGAAAACAATTTGCTCATTCCACACCGGTGAATAGCTGTGTTTTCTTACGCTCGTTTTGCCCTTAAGCCAAAAAATTTATTCACGTAGACAAATATACTTATATCTAATATTAATAGTAAAAATTAAATTGCTGAATTCTCAAACGTATTATTTTGTATTCACATCATTTTTTTCCAAATTTAGAAAATTCTATCTCTATTTTGTATTGAAATAATACTAATACAGTCACGATATTAATTTATCGTTTATGATAGCATACCATCGAAATCTAAATCTTTGTTTCAGGCAAGAAATAAACGCACTAACGACGAATTAATTGAATAACGGTTTATTGTAACGTACATAATATTAATATATCTACGAGCTATGGCTTCTAAACGTTAACCTATGTCCTAAATCGATAGAATGCTTTGAACGTTTAATTAAACTCTCCGTGAAATTATGAAAACGTGAGTTACACTGTTTCCTTAGAACGCCAATAACAAGATTACAACGAAGATATTTTAGTGCTAAATATATTATACATAAATTCACTATTAGCATCATATGTCGAGTAGAAGATTTAGGCTTCGTATAGATATAGGTAATAATGGTGCCTTCAGCATCGTAAAATAGTTRGATTATAATATTATTATCATTATYATTATTTTTTTGTATTCACACCACACGCTATATACAAATCAAATGCATAATTTCATCGATTATTTGAATTTTTGGGGCAGTTGTACTTATGCTTATTTACTTTGTTACCTAAACAGAATCAGTGCGTACGAATACATTTTATATTCTACCGGAGATACATTATAGATGAAATTAATTTTTGTTTTTTATCCTGATATCCGCTTATTTAATCACTGAACTTTAATTATTATGAAAAATGTTAATTACTCATTATAAATTAAACAAAAAAATAAAGTCCTGAACGCGTTTCGGAAATAAATTTCTTATATTCATTTATATATAAATGTCTTGTACCTATCTTACATCAATATTAAACTGTAATTTATCTGAAATTAAACTTTACGGTGTATTTGTGTGTCAAAATATAAAATGAACATTTAATTCACAGAATAAATTAATTAATAATTAAGTTTCAACTTTTTCATAAAAAAGATACTTGAACAAATTATACATATACCTAAGTCTATATAAGATATTCTTTTTAATACCATCAAAGATATATATGATGTCATTTTTGAGATGAGTTTTATTATTTTCAGATATATTAAGGTAGAATTAATGAAGCAAATCGATGCTTTTCAATAAACCATTAATAATGCATTATAAAATGCTTTTTATTAAACAAAAATTATTATTATTATGGTTACGATAAGCACTGTAGAGGTTTTGTAATAGTTTTTAATTATTTAATATCGATTTCATTATGATACAATTATGTATAGTTATATAATATCTTTTATTTAATTCAATTTATGTTAGTTTAACTCCGAAACGCMATGACTTTGTGCTGGTATTAAAATATAATATTTCAATAAAAGGGAATCGTTTATTGGTTTTTAAAACTTTTTTTTTTTGCTGACATTTTTACAAGGATAAATTATTCGAGATAAACTATATGTAACATTTTAACTAGCATTTTGTGAGTTTGATATTGAATTTTAAGGATTTTTTAGTCATGACTTACTATTAGACATACTACCTATTAGAAAACAGCTCTAAGTTTGACTAACAACCAACTCAGTATTTTTAGTATGTTTTTCTCTCATCATAAAGTTCAACAATATCAGTAGGTACAYATACAACTTAATATTTTGTGAAAAATGRGACAATAAGACTTAAAAATTATTAAAATTTCAATATTTCATGTAATCWKATCTCTGAAAATGAAGAGCTTTTATTCATCACTTCATCAGAACCYTACATGTTTAAATATTGATTGAAGTMTAAACAGAAAATTATTTAATCATTATATTTCCGTTACTGTACTTTAATTGATACCAAMATCATTAAATGGTTTTAATAATATTATTACGAAGATAACATCATTCGTTTTTAATAGTACAAGATTCCCCAACACATTTATYCATCTTATCCGAATTCCTACCAATAAATCTAGGAAAAGCATTGTAAAAATGTATTAAATGTCCATAATATTATACTCGTAGATATACAATTTAGCGACAGAAGTGATAAATATTTCGGTGACGATTATAAAATTACGTTATCCATATAAATGTGACCGACGACTTACGGTTAAACCGGCGAACGATACTTGTACGAATGGGTCGACCAGGTCTCGGTTCTCGCCGGTAAATGCTTTTTTCACGTTCGCCACCAGCGTGCTGTTCATTTTTGGCAAACCGTCAGCCCTGTATATCCGCACCACGTATTTGGCCCTCTGCCGGTCCACCGGGACGCCGTCCGGTAACAGCAGGTTGCTGTAATAATTTAATATTAAGGTTAGAGCAGCAACGTGTCATAGACAACCTGCAAGAGTGTGGTCGATCAACGATAATAATAATTATAATATTTCATCGGTTTAAATAAAAATAATCGTAGAATAAAATAATGAAAATTATTATAGTATCGTGATAAGACYAGATTATTTTCCCAGCACTATACATGTATTCTGTAGCCCAGTGAATCGCCTGTACCAGTCACTCAATTACCCTACAATTATCTACCTACAGTATCCCRCCGGGAAATRCGTGTATAGAATTTTCCTCCATTTTTTTYAGCTATAATATTATACTATGAAATATATTTTCACACACAAAACAACCGTTTTATTATCTATTTTTTTTTATATCTTAAAAATACTCAAAATACGATATTAAAACTAAGATAATAATGTTAACTATTTTTATTTTTGTGATTTATAGAAAATTTAATTTATTTTAAACTATGGCAGACTTCGAACAAATATTAAACCAACAGTAGTATATTATTTATAAACGCTAAAAGTTTCTATATAACAGCTGGAGTGGAGTGGTAGGGTAAACCACGAACATTTAATAAAACTATAAGGTCAAAATATTTGATTATTATGGATTTAAATGTTCGAAAATTAAAAATAATATAGGTATGGCTTGCTGTCGCAAAAAAAAAAAAAAAATTAAATACAAACACAAAATATAAACATCAAAACTTGCAGTTCACGAACATAATAATATTTTATTAAATAGTAAAACGTTTATAAAATTTATAAACTTTCTACTACTTTTTTTTGGAACATTTTTAATCCAAAGTTGAGRGATATATTCCCTGAGTACCTAACATAAAATATGCTATTGACGATTTAAAAATTTGAGGATTTGTTTCGTAGTATAATTTTGTGTAAGCCCACTTAAGTATTTACAATAAAAATGGTGAATACAGTTATAAATTTATCATATTATTGTACATGGATAATGTTACCACAATCTTACCAAATTATTTTGATAACGGACATAATATTTTTGTTACTGAGTAGATTTCTGTAATTTCTGTATTAAATTGTATTTTAATCATTAGCTATTGAATATGAAAACGATATTTAGAGTGAGTTAATGAATATTTCAAAGGATATTTTATTAAATAATTTTAATACATTCAAGCAAAAAAATTATGGTTTGGTAGCCAATAATAATACAATAATATGAATAGTAATATAATAATTTGATAATAGTAGCAGTATAATGTATAAAATTGTATTAATTATAAGAATTTCGTATAAAAAATGACTCAGAACAAGAGAACGAGAGGTCAAAATTTACTAACGAAATATATTAAAAATTGCATGGTCTTCATAATGAGTAGAGCAGATCAAGAAATGTGCAATTAACAGAATGCCATTAGGGTTATATGGAACTTCTAAAAGATTATGGGCTAAAATAGCTATAGAGTCAGTTTTATTGTTCAAAATTTTATTATTTTTTAAAATTTACATGTGTAAATGTGTAATATACATTTTTGAAATTTTAAAAATTTAGTAACCCACAATAGTATCAATAACATTTTTGTTATTTTGTGAATCAGTTATTTATGATTATAGAAATCATTGGCAAAAATCCCACTTCAAAATTATAAGATGAAATTAATATCATCTTTACAGCTTCATTAGAAATAGATAGATTGAACATACAACCAGAAAATCATTCTTTTTTTTTTCAATTGAAATTCATTTTAAATTAGACTACCTATCTTTAAATTTTAAATAGTTCGATTTATTCATCTTAGCTCTTATTGATAACTCATTTTTTCATGGCATATTATTGAAAATTATTTGAAATCGATTTTGTYTATCGATAGTTCTACAATCCGCTTAAAAAATATAAATCAAAATTGTCTTTCAATATATTTAAATTATCAGAAATAGATGTCATCATCAACAATAGATGCATCATCAACTTTTATTTTATTTTAAATTATGAAGCTATAAAAATGATTCTAAGCAGGCAAACATTTTTTTTCAATTTTATTTTTCCACAGCAAAAGTTCTATCCAATAATTCTCAAACTTTGTAGTGAACTGAAAATATATTTGCAAAGTACGTAAGTTTTAAAATAAAATTATCATCACTTAAGATTTTTACGTAATCATTTATCTCGTCTAAGTAATACGTAACTTCTTCCCGAATTTCGACTAGACAAGTCTTGATGAACTTTTCCCCTCRTAAACCAACATACCTCGTTATAAAGAAGAAGTGAATTGTAAATACTACCCATTTCTTAGAAAAACTTCTCAAATAAATAGGTATATAATGGCCTTACGTTTATGAAATTAACTATTTTGACAGGCGAGTTTAAGCCACGTCTGAAATCATCTGACAAAAGTATTCAATACTAATGCTTTCCTATGGATATTGCAGTTCATCCATGGAATATTAGGATGAATTTCACGMGTTTTAGTAATAACATTACTGTTCCTRCCACACGWCGTTCGGTACATAAAGCTGACACATTTTTTTCTAACAGTGAGATGCCACGAGTGGGTAGTAAACATGTAGGAAGTGATTCCTTGAAGTTTTATCGGTTGCTTTCAACTTTAAATTACAGTTTAACGTCATCGAAACGTTAGTTTGTRTTTGCATATATTTGAAAAATATCACATGAATCAAATTCGTATGCTATATTATAGATATACATAAGTAAAAATATATTTTATAGCATTGCTTTTATAATTTACAAAACAGACATCRTATTATTAATGTTGGGAGCAACTGATTTCGGTTAATAATTACGCTTAATGCAAACAGATACCTAGTAAATACCTAGCGGTCCCCAGAAATTAGCTGCTTCCGATATTAACAACGGGATTGCTTCTCTGCATGTATATTATAAAATAATGCATAAAGTATAATGAAACGTATAAGTATATTATGCCAGGTTAGCATGGGCTCGTAGATTTTTTCATTGTCGAGCTCCACACCCCATTATACTCAGCAAACAGCATAGATTTTAGTTTTGTTTAATAACTTATAAGCGAAAATATAACAATTAAATTTGTAATATACCTCCTTAAACAATAAA